AATTATAGTAAGTCTTTTAAGTCTTTCTTATTTATAAATATTAAAGAGGCGCTATAAGGTACTTTAGATTTTTTAATTTAATTAAATTTAAGTATTTTATTTAACTAAGAATAAAAGGCTTTAAGTTCTTAGGTAAATATAATGAAAAGAGGTTCTTATAGTAGAGATTTCTCTTCTATTAATTTAATTTAATAATTCTATAATTAATAGTTTAAGAGGTAAAAAGCTACTTTAACTAATATAATAGGGATAAATTCCTTAAATTCCTTAAGTATTATATTTAAGGCTACTTATACTATTAATTTTACTATTATAACGTGATTTTTTATTTACTTAAGTCTTAGTAAATTTAAGCTTATATAGTTCTTTTTATAAAACTTTAAAGCGAATTTTATTTTATTTAAGTTATTATTTTAAAGGTTTATTAGCTAGTATTACTTTATTTATTAATAGGGAAGAATAATATTATAGTTTAACTTTATAGCTTTTAACTTAAAGTTTATACTTATAAAGTAGTCTTTTTAATACCTTAGAATAATAAGGCTTATATAATAGTAGCTATTAAAGTTATTAAACTTATTATTAAACTTATATAAGGTTTTCTTTTAAAGTTACTTATAGATTAAAATTCTTAATTTTTAAGCTAATATTAGGGATATAATAGGTAAGAAGCTACTAATATTAAGAAGAACTTTAATTAGCATTTCTTTTCTTTACTTAATTAAAGTTATAAGAATTATTAATTATAGCTTAATTTAAGGTTTATTAGGTTAAAGCTTCTTTAAATATAAAGCTACGTTAAGTTTATTTTAAAATAAAAACCTTTTCTTATAAAATAACTTATAAAAGTCTTTTAAAAATTTAAATTAAAGTTAAAGGGTAATACGTAATTATATTCTATTAGATCTTTTAAGATTATATTAATAATAGGCTATTTTATTAATAATAGCTTTAGTTTCTCTTTACTAGATTTCCGTTTATTATTATTAGATATTATAATACTAGTAATCTTAAAAGAGGCTAATAGTAAGGTATTACCTTCTTTATCTTTATTAGTATAATATTAAGTAAAAGAGTAATTATCTTATTTATAATATATACTTTTTAAAAGAACTTTTATCTCTTTTCTTTATTAAGCTTATTATTTTTAATTTAATTCTTTAAGAATTTCTTTAGTAAGCTTAAAGGTTTTTATAAGCTATTAATTTTAAATTAACTTAATTTTAAGGGCTTTTAAGTTAAATTAAGCGCGTCTTTTCCCGTAAATTTAATTAAGTTAAAGTCTATTAATATATTTTTATAAACTTAATTTACTTTAATAATAGTATTAAAGTATTCTTTATTTAAGAGTAATATACCTTTTCTTTTTAAGTAAATTAACTTAATTATTTTATGTAATAATACCTTAATAATATACGTTTAAAGAGTAAAGCTAATTTAATAGATTATTTCATTTAAGTCTATTATACTTATTAAAAACTATAAGATATTCTTAAAGTATTTAATCTTTAAAAGCTTCTTAAGGTTATTAATTACTTTTAAAATATCTTTAAATCTCTCTTAAATAATAATAATAATACGCGTTTTAATAGTTTATTACTTAAAGACTTTATAATTATTAGGCTTTTTATTAGTATTAAATCTTTGCTTTATTAGCTAATAATAATTTTATTTAATTAATTTTAAGTTAATTAAAGGGTTTTAAGCTTAAATTTAAGAGCCTTAAAGAATTTAAGAGGGGTTTATTAGGCCTTTTATTTTAATAATTATCTTTACTATTAAATAAGTTACTTAAATAGCTAAAGTTTATAAGAGCCTTATAAATTAAAGGTCTTAAGAAATAAAAGTAATACTAATTATCCTATGAATTTCTTATATATACTATATAAAGTATATCTTCATTATAATAAGATAAGGTAAGAGTACTTCTTTTAATACTTTATAAAATAATAGTAATAAGCGATTAAATTAAGCGGTTTAAGGTAGCTTTTTACCTAATTTTATTTAACGTTCTTTTAATATTAATAGATTAATTTATCTTAAACTACTTAAGAGTATTTTTAATAATAAATTTAACTAAAATATAAATATCTTAAAGTTATACTTAAGTGTAAACGTTAAGGTTTTAAGAGCTAATATATTATTAGGCTAAAAGATTAATAATAACTAG